AAAAAGATAAAAATCAAAAATAAACTTTCTTTATAAGGAAATCTTCAAGGCTTGGTGTGATTTTTATAAGAACTTAATTGAAATTGAAATGTAATATACATGCTATACAATTCATCCATTTCAAATATACAATTCAGTGGTTTTTAACATATTCACAGTTGTGCAACTGCCACCACAAAGAATTTTAGGACATTTATCACCCCCAAAAGAAACTTTATACCAGAGGTAGGGAGCCTGCAACCTTAAGGCCACATATGATCTTCTAAGTCCTTAAGTGCAGCCTTTGGCTGAATCCAAATTTTGCAGAACAAATCCTTTTATTTTTATTAATATATTTTGTTTATCTTTTATATTTATATTTTATTTTTTAAATGAACATATTTAAAATACCAAACAATAAAATAAGTCTCAATGACATAATCTTCTTAGATTTACTGGCACAATTCGAACATTAGTAAGCTATAAGGGCTAAATTGATGGCTGCTTTGCTCATGATTTAGTTCTAACTTCCTCGGCCTGACTGGCACCACTACTGCACAAGGCTGGTTAGTGAGAGTTTACCGGAGTCAAGAATGACAATCTTTAATCAGCTTTTGACAGCGGTGCACTGTGTTTCTATTTGAAGTGGAATTTGTGAATAATTGCACATCTGGACAGGATTTTTTAATTCTATCTGGTTAATAGCTCATCATGTCAAAGAAGATCAAGAGAAGGCTGAAGGAAGAAAACAGATTTTTTAATGAGGATTGGGAATTGCAATATTATCTTGTTTCTGCTACAGATAAGATGATTTGCTTGCTTTGTGATACTTTGTTGATACAATATCAACCTTAAAAAAATTCAGTGTTCATCAGCATTATAACACTGATAAGGGCCACAAATATTTTAAATTAAAGGGATAGGCACAGATTGTTGTATTACAGAAATTAAAAGATCAAAAGCAAAAACAAAGACAGTTCTTTCAAGCAGAAATAAGACCTGGAAATAATGCCGCTGAAGCAAATTATAAAGTAGCTTATATACTTGGGGAGAAAAGGAAGCCATTCAGTGATGTAGAAATTGTGAAGGAATGCATTGTTGAAGTTGTAGGATGCTTAGATCCCAATAAGGTTTCAAAGTACAAACAACTGTCTTGTTCAAGGAGAACCATAACTGATTGGCAGCATGAATTAGCATTCAACTTAACAGAACAATTTTATGCAATATTTGAAAAAGCAAATGTATATTATTCAAACTCTTTGAATGAATCAACTGATACTGACTCGGCACAGGTTTTATACTTCATTACGGTCATAACAGAAGATTTTCTTTGCTATGAAGAGTTACTCACTTTGGGCACTCCTGTGAACAGAACATGGGGAATAGATATCTTCCACAACTTTCAAGATGAATGTCATGAAGTTGGACAGAATTGGGTAAATTTAGTGAGTATATGTACAGATGATGCACCTTCCATAACAGGAAAACATGAAGGGTTTATTGCACAGATAAAAAAAAGTATTAACAGATCCAGATTCTCTCATTTCTTTTCATTGTATCTTTTATCAGTAAAATCTCTGTGCTAAAACTACTATTTTAAGTGACACTTTGCAACAAGTTATAGGTATTGTTAACTATATTCATACAAATGCAACACGGCATCATCAGTTTCATAACATGCTAAAGTTGAATGATGAGGTATTTAGTGTGGATTTCTTGTATCATTCTAAAGTGTGTTAGCTATTGCAGGGACAGGTGTTAGCCAAAATATTATCTCTGCAAGAACAGATAGTTAAATTTTATGAAGAAAAGAATCAGCAATGTGAATTATTGAAAGAAGATTTCTATACGAATGCAACTTTTCTGTGTGATATCATGTCAAATCAAAAAACTTGAATATTTCTTTGCAAAGTAAAACTAAGTCTATGTACAATATGTGGCCAGAAACATCCAAGCGTTTTGAAGAAAGCTATTCTTTTCAAAACACTTCTTCTTCAAAAGGAAAGTTCAAATGAACATTGTCCCCAATTAACAAAGGTCATTGATGAGCAGAATGATACATGCAAATCATTTGAAGAATACACAGGTGTTATAGATATTTTAATGGGAGAACACAATGAAAGGTTCACTGACTTTGAGAATCATGACATCACTCTCAAATTAGCATTTCACCCTCACCTCTTGATATCAGCAATGCATGTAAAGAACTACAGATGGAATTGATTGAGCTCTCAGTAGATGACATTTTAAAGTCATTGTTTGGTGCTGAGAAAGATCCAGTTGAAATATGGGAAAATACAGTGGAATACTCATGCCTTTGGCAACATGCCCCAAAAATGCTTTCTTGCTTTTCAACCACTTATTATCGTGAATCTACCTTCTCCTACCCAACCCAAATCAAGACACCCTTAAGGTCACAAATGACTGACACCCATCCAGACGATCACCTGAAAGTGGGTCCCTCCATGCTGCAACCAAATATTCAAATGCTTTCCAACAAAAAGCAGACACAACAAAGTCATTCAAAGTTTAGTTAACTTCAAAATCAATAGTTTTCATTTTTTGAAATTATTAAGTACATAGTAGTTAGATTTTTACAAAATAATATACATTTTTAAGTATATCTAATTGAAGTTTCTTGAATGTGGCCTTATTTGATTACAGCTAAATTAATGCAACCTTCCAACATGAAAAGGTTTCCCATTCCTGCTCTATACCGTTTAGATGTCACCCCCAATGCCACGATCTTCCTGTCCCTTCCCCACCAAACTCTAGGCAACCACTAATGTGTTCTCTGTCTTTATAGATTTGCCTACTCTGGAAATTTCATATAAGTGGAATCATGTAATATGTGGTCTTTTGTAATACGTGGCTTCTTTCACTTAGCATGATGTTTTCAATGTTCATCCATGTTGTAGTATGTATGAGTACTTCATTCCTTTTTATAGCCCAAAAATATTTCATTGTGTAGCTCCACATTTATTTGTCTATTCATTAGTTGGTAGATATCTGGTTGTTTCCACCTCTTGTCTCTTATTAATAATGCTGCTATGAACTTCATATGAAATTTGAAATGAGTTGTAAGATTCAAATAAAAAATTCCATGGATGTTTTATTGCAATTGCATTAAATTTATATATTAATTTAGGGGAAATTTTAATTTTTTACAAAATTGAGTATTTTCATTCAGGAAAATTATTAGGGATTTTTGCATTTATTTTGGACTTGTTTACTGCCTTCCATAAAGTAGTATCATTTTCTTCATAAAATTCTGGTGCATTTCTTTTTTATTATTTCTATTTAGTTTCTGTTTTGCCATTTTAAATGGGTTTTTTTAATTAAAATTTAATTTGGTGGTGAGAGTATATAGAAAAGCTGTTAATTTCTGTATTTTTGCCTTGTATCCAGCTATCTTGAGGGTCTCCCTTATTAGTTCTCATGATTTTTCTGTTGATTTTCTTTATCTTACATATAATTCATTATATAACCTATAAATATTCAAAATTCATCTCTTCTAATGCAATATTTATATTCTCAATTTCTTTTTTTATTTTTTAATTTCACTGGCTAAGATATCTAGAATAATGATAGATAATAGCAGCTATATTGGACATACATCTTTTTCCCTACCAACTTTAATTTTTTTAATTGCAAGCAATGTTATAGACAAGATGAAAGAAGTTTAATAAAATTTAAGTTTTTAAATTTTAATAAAATTTTAGAAATCCCTCTGATCCTATGTGAAAACAAACTTTAAAAATTATAGACTTTAAAAATTGCTCCAAACAGGCCGGACACGGTGGTTCACGCCTGTAATCCTAGCACTCTGGGAGGCTGAGGCGGGCGGATGGCTCAAGGTCAGGAGTTCGAAACCACCCTGAGCAAGAGTGAGACCCCATCTCTACTATAAATAGAAAGAAATTAATTGGCCATCTGATATATATAGAAAAAATTAAGCTGGGCATGGTGGTGCATGCCTGTAGTCCCAGCTACTGGGGAGGCTGAGGCAGGAGGATTGCTTGAGCCCAGGAGTTTGAGGTTGCTGTGAGCGAGGCTGATGCCAGGGCACTCACTCTAGCCTGGGCAATTAAGGGAGACTCTGTCTCAAAAAAAAAAAAAAAATTGCTTCAAACAAACAAAAATCTAAAAAGAAAATTGCTAAAATTAAGTTGTTTATAAATGTACACAAAGAGTGAGGAGGAACACACACCAAACTGCCATGAGTAGTTCCTTTAGGGGTGTGGAATTCCGGAGGCAGGAATAATGGGAGAGAAGGAAGCCTACTTTCTGCAATGTGCACTTCTGTATAGCTTGGCTTTTTGCAGTGAGCATTTCCTATTTTTATAATTTTACAGTGCATCTTGGAATAAATCCAAAGAGTACCAAGTGTGTAAAGACTTGTGTTTACATATCAAGATTGAAAGATGTGTGCATTTTATGTTTTGTTCACTAAGTTCAATCTCAACTATGGGAGAGAGTTAAAGATTAGATAGATGAGAAAGAAAGGAGGGAAGGAAGAAAGGGAGGGAGAGAAGGGCTGCAGAAGAGAAGGAGGAGAAATTGGTGGATAGATAGAAATATTGATACTGATACAGATATAGATATAGAGCCACTTGCTATTACTAGAGAGTCTATAAACAAAAGGATGGCCCTAGGGGAAAATGTGTACAAAGGAAAACCTTACAAATTACACACATCAGAATTCTAGGACAGAACAGTTGCTGTGGTTATCTCCCTCCCTAGGATGCCTAGGAAAATGTGAATGGAGAAATTATTCTCTTCATGGTTGAAGAGAATCTTAATTGCTCTCTAATGTCTTCAGACCTTGATGATTTCCTGTCAAAAGATTTTTTTCTTCTGAGACACCATGGGCAAGTTTAGCAATCATAGAAAGTCATCTATATTATTAATATTTGCCCTAGTATTTAGGGTGCCATATAAATGATACCTAGTGACATGTGGTATTCCTGCCTGCATTTTGGAATCTGACTAAATGTACCTCTTCCCTTCTTCTCTTCCAGGATCTCCAATGAGCATTCACCCAAACTCCAGATCCGAAGTCATAGCTACCTGAGGGCAGTGAGTGAAGTCTCCATCAACCGAAGCCTCGATGGCCTTGACCCTGCAGGCTTGCTCACGTCACCAAAGTTCCGCTCCAGGAATGAGAGCTACATGCGAGCCATGAGCACCATCAGCCAGGTGGGTGCCGTCAGACCAGCAGTGGCCATGAGCCAGTAACTGCAGGAGGGTTGGTGAAAACAGAGAGGGCGTGGTGTGGGGAAGTGGTCACTCAGTAGACCACTGAGGGATCAGACAGGAGGTCCAGGGAAATGCTACAGAGAATATGCCATGTGTTCAGCTGCAGCAAGCACCTGGCATCAATGGTCTACCGGGAGGGTGGGGGTAAATTTGTCAGTAAGGAATTGACAGATGAGGTTGTAGATGTTAAAGATGCTTGAAGGACAGAAGTACAGGACAGACATCATTGGAGAAACCAAAGCAGTAACTAATCCTAAAAGTGCTAGAGTATTAAGCAGGTCATCAAGTCAAGGACCTAGACACAGGACACAAGATTCCATCTATTTACCTCAACCAGGTCCTAGGTGAACACTGCACCTTGTTAACTAGATAGACTCCTGCTTCTAAGAACTGGTACACAGGACTGGAGATGAAGACTTAATAATGATAACTGAATACTACTGCCAAAATGTGGAGCTAAAACTCTCCAATCTCTCCCATCAAAAGTCTCAGAGAGTATGTGAGAAGGCTGAGCTGCTAAGGTCAGGGGCATAGAGGACCCAGGACTCTTGCAGGAACTGACCCTGCAGTTTTCAGGGGCCACCAGAAGGAGGAGAGAAGGTGTCTCAGGGGCTTTCTTTGGAAGGACATAAAAAACGGTATTTTTTGAAATGTTAAAGCCTCTGAATTAAAATTTACATCACAATTTTTAAAAATAACTACCAGACCATTAATTCAGTTAATATTTAGTGAGCAAAACTCTAGGTCAGATTTTACAAGCTGTACAATGATGAGTAATCCATAATACCTGCCCCCCAGAGGTTGACAGTCTAATGGAGAGCATGTGAAAAAAATATAAAAATTCTATCACAAACATTACTTACTTGAACATCACAAAAACACTCTGAGGTAAGTGAGACAAGAATTGACAATAATAGCCATGTTTTTTTGGGAACTTACTGGGTTAGGCACTGTGCCAATTACATTATATTTTTAATATTAGTCCTTAGAAACACCATGTAAGATATATAACTAATCCAATGTTAAATAGGACTTTTCCTGTAGTCACAAAATTTTCAACAAGATCCCAAAGCTAAGGAAAAAACATGTTAAGTACCCATGATTCTAAAGAGAGAGCTTCTGTAATAGGAATGGAATCCAGGGATATGTGTTTTAACAAATATCACAAGTAATTCTAACAAGGTATTATTTATTCTAAACTTTGAAAATGCTATCCCAAAGCATATTCAAGGAATAGTGAATGTTCTAGTTTGGATGGAGTTTAGAATACTTATAGAGGCACCATGGGGAGGTCCAGTCTGAGGATTGTCCTGGAGAATTTTTTTTTATGAATGGCCTTGCCTACCACGCCCAGAGAACTGGATTTTATTCATTAGGAATGGGATTAAGTAAAGATTAATTAAAATTTCAGCTTTTAAGCAGGCACAGGATATGATCAAAACTTTGATGTAAGATCATTAATCTGGCAAAAATAATATGAAAGATTAGAGATGAGAAGCTAGATGGAGAGAGGCTAGTTTGGAAGATATTATGATTATAAGGTAAAAATTAATGTTATTGGTGGTGGTGGTGATGATGGTGGTGGTGACAGTGCTGGTGATGGTGATGACAGTGATGTGGTGATGGTCGTGATGGTGGTGGTGGTGGTGATGGTGGTGGTGGTGGTGGTAATGGTGATGGTGGTGGTGGTGGTGGTGGTGGTGATGGTGGTGGTGATGGTGATGGTGGTGGTGATGGTGGTGATGGTGGTGGTGGTGATGGTGGTGGTGATGGTGGTGGTGGTGGTGGTGGTGGTGGTGATGGTGGTGATGATGGTGATGGTGGTGGTGGTGATGGTGGTGGTGGTGATGGTGACGGTGGTGGTGGTGGTGGTGGTGATGATAACAGTTGTACCCTGAAATGTTACCACTGCTCTCATTTTATCTCTGCCATCAAAATAGAGCTAGTTCCATGCTCTAAATGGAGAGCAAAATCAGGGACCACAACCAGGCCCTGAGGGCAGAGTGGGAAGGGAGCCAGGGAAAGTTGGCATATGAGATTCCAATATTGACCCATCATACTTTTAAAAAAATCTCCAAGAATATGCATACCTATTTGTGTTAGTCAATGCTTATCCAATGATACACATTATCCCAACTCTCAGGGAAATAGTTGGAGCCTCATGTTGGTGCACTATGGACTTGTTTTGTTCTCCTTTTTTTCACAATAAATAATATAATATTTAAAACTTCTTGAAGCATAGCTTTATTCTTCATGGCCTAAAAGTCACATTTTCCTTAGAAATTGTAAAATAGTCTATAAATCCAGCTGCTATACGTGCAGAATACATCAGGGGATTTAAAACTTTAGTTGGAATTTATACACATTTATGGCTTTTGTAACATTAGCATGTTTAAAACAAGAGAACATTTAATTTTCCTCAGCAGGACATTGTGCCTACACAGCCGACCACTTTCTGTCCCTGTGCTGTGGGTTTGACCTTCCTTGGGACAAAATCATTTCCCAGTGAGGGCTTAATAAGATATGAACAAACCATTGTGCAGACACATGGGAGAAGTAATGCCAGGCCAGGCCAAGTGCTGCAATTCCATGGGGTAGTCATCTGGCCTTAAGAAAAGCATGGGAAGAATGGCCAGCCTAAATGGATTCCTAATGATACATCATTTTTCTAGTTCCATATTCAATTTTCAAGTAACACAGTATCTTTAAGGATAATTTCAAACTTCCTATTATAGTTGCAACATTGTCATTATTCAAAGGATAATAGTTTCCTCTTCAAAGCAATGCTACCACATATATCCTAGACTTTTCAAAAGCAGTTGGCTTTTATGATGTGAGCTATTCTCTTAAATAGATCATTAGTAGAAACCATAATAGTATAGAATTTAAGTGCATTATATCCTATTCCCCTTTAATACCTGACATATTATTTATCAAAGGCTCCTAAAAAGATTAAAGGAAAATTTTATATGCCAAGAAATTGGTTTAGAGTAACTAAATTGTTTCTTCCTGTCATTCATTGCTCATAGATATAAAAGACCCATGAAAACAGATTGTGTTTGGATGATAGAAAAAAATTGAGCACCTTTTCATGTTTATTCTTTTTATATGTTTTTACTATGTGTACATCTAATAAAATGGGAGCTTTTAAAGTAAGACTGGAAAAGAAAGAATTACAGAAATATTTACAATATTTCATGCAGTCACTATCATTTCCAAATTAACTTAATTTATATTTTAATTTATTTCAAGTCCAAATGCTAAAAGTGTTTTCATCTGGAATGGCAAACTAGAAGTCCACAGACACATTTTATCTGGCAACATGTTGGATTTCAACATCATTTTTAAGACATTAATATAACTAGACAGGTGTTGTGCTTAGTGGTAATACCAGCAGCTTAGCTGTGACTTTGACTTAGACTGTCCTGTGTGTGTGTGTGTGTGTGTGAGTACAGAGAGAGAGAGAAATGGACACTCAAATAAATTAAGTGTCTGTGGGTACACAGCTAGTCAGTGACAAAACCTAGAAAACCCAAGTATCCTGACTCCCAACTCTTATCACTTTTCAATTTATTAAATTCAGTCTCAGAGAGTTGGAGTAACCTATCTATCTCATTTTTCCCACTACACTATCTTGCAAAATAATATCCACCATTTATGGAGCGCCTACCATATGTCTAGAAATATGATATGCATTTTTTACATTACTTTTATCCTTAAAGCATCCCTATGAGGTAGGTATTATTGTATTCATTTTACAGATGAGTATAGTGAAGCTCAGAGAATTCAAGTAAATTTTTCACTATATAGTATAAAGAACAAATATATATATATATATATATAAAGAACACTGAACTCTTCCTTCATCCCATATAAAAAAAGAATCTAAGTAAATTTAAAATCTAAGGAGTAACAAAAAATATTAAACTAAATTTTAGGAGAATGTGTGTATGTGTATGATGGTATCGTGGTAGGAACTATTACTTAAAATAAAAAAGAATTCCGGAAAACACAAAGTAAAAGATTAAAATCTATTCTAATAGAATTAAATATTTCTTTGTGGCAAAATATATCACAAAGCTAAAATGCAATTGGTGGGAGGAATATTTACACACATTAAGAAGAAGGGTTAATGTTTCAATTGCTTAATGTATTCCTACCAGCTAATTAGTAAGAAAAAAATAAAAGTAAACAACGCAAAAGAAACTTGGGAAAACTTATGAATTAGTAAACAGAGAAAATGAAATACAAAAGCCAGTAAATATAGCCTATGTACTAGTAGGCTGGAAAATGCAAATTAAAACAAGACAATATCATTTTTGACCTATCAGAGTGACAAAAACTGCTAACATCCAGTTCTGGTGAACATGTTGAGAAACAAATTCTGTCTTACTTGCTGTTTGGAGTGTGAATTGCTACAATTATCTTAGAAAGTAAGTTAGTAAAATCTACAAAAGGTGAAAATACACTAAGAAAAATAGAAGTTAAAAAGAAGGTAAATTTTCAAAATTAGAAAAAGTGGAGATGTAAAAAGAATTAAAGAGATATTGACAAATATCAAAGATAGACAAAGAAAACTGAACATACAGATAATAGAAGTACTTGAAGAATAAAAATCAAAGAAAAAGAACAGAACAAATAATAAAATCAATATTTTTAAAAAAAAAAACTTTCCTGAAATAAAAAGATGATTTGAAACTACATATTGGAAAAAGATACCATGTACCAGGGAAATTTACCCAAAACAATCACCATCAGAACATATTTTGGTAGAATTACAGAATTAAAAAAAAAAACTTTTGGATTTCTAGACGAAAAAACCAAATGACTTAAAAAAATGAAAATTAAATTATCATCAGACTCTTTAACGATTTATGCCAGAAGAAAATAGCATAACGTTTTAATGTACTCAAAGAAGAGATGTGAACCAAAGATCTTTATATCCAGAAAATTTCACTTTCAAATATATATGGCACAAATTGTTATAAGCATGGATGAATACAGGGAATCTTATTTCCATAAGCCTATCCTGAGGAATATACCAGACAATGAGCATTGGACACCCAACGTATCAGACAGGACCACAAATGCTCCTCTTCTTACAATGGGAGGGGGGGTTACATCCCAATAAACCCATTGTAAGTTGAAAATATCATAAGGTGAAAGTGGGCATTTTGTAAACATGATGGGATGTAAAAACACAAAACAAAATATCCAAAAAATGCTGGCAATGCAGTACACTGAAGAATATCAGGTGTGTACCCTCATGACTGCCTGAGCACCTGTGAGAGAATATGGTGCCGTATCTCACTAGCCCAGGAAAGGATCAAATGCAAGGTATGATTTCTACTGAATGTGTATCAATTTTGCACCATTGTAAAGTCGAAAAATCGTACATCAAACCATCATAAGTCAGGGACTATCTGTAGTAGCAAACATTAAACATACAGTTATTTGGGCCGGGCGCTGTGGCTCACGCCTGTAATCCTAGCTCTTGGGAGGCCGAGGCGGGCGGATTGCTCAAGGTCAGGAGTTCAAAACCAGCCTGAGCAAGAGCGAGACCCCGTCTCTACTATAAATACAAAGAAATTAATTGACCAACTGATATATATATAAAAAATTAGCCGGGCATAGTGGCGCATGCCTGTAGTCCCAGCTACTCGGGAGGCTGAGGCAGAAGGATCACTCAAGCCCAGGAGTTTGAGGTTGCTGTGAGCTAGGCTGACGCCACGGCACTCACTCTAGCCTGGACAACAAAGTGAGAAAAAAAAAATTTTTTTTAAAAAAAAAAAAAAAAAAAAAAAAACATACAGTTATTTGTAGAACTAAGACCAAATGAGAAGGGCTCAGTGCGGGAGGTAGTGTAATAGGATTATATGCTCTGACAATGTAAAAATAGCACAACTATTTAAAAATGAGGGAATAATGGAGGGAGCACATGCAAAATAAAATTGCTAACTGTTTTTAATAATCATATATGGGCATTGGTACTATTAATATTGCTATTCTGAGGTTGTTGCCCATGTATTATGGAATAAAGCAAATGAATAGTTGTAGAATATTCCAATTCCATCATCTCTTGTGTCCTTGTGAACCGGGATTCCTATATGGAATAAAGATCTAAGTGTAAATATAAAAGAGGCTGCATAAAAACCCCTGTGGCCTGTATTTGAATTGGACATACAGTGGTTCTGCCCACTAAAAACACCTAAGAACAATGATTAATCCAGTAGCAATGACAATGGACCTCCCTGGTACCCAGACTGTGCTCTTATAATCCTACTTCCTACTAAAAGAACAAAGGGCTTCTTGGAAATATACTGATTCCAGGCCTGGGCAGGAAAGGTATAAGTTTAGAATACATTGACATACCAAATATCAAGGAAGCTATCAAAGACTACTAGTTTCATGTCAAAAGATCTCACAAGCCAATCTAAGAGGCTCCCATTGGCCAGGAGATGGGACAAATTTGAGTTCACTAAGAATAGTAATTGAATTGGACTTAAAATATTTTGATTGTATCTTATTTATTTATTTATTTATTTATTTATTTATTTTAGAGACAAGGTCTCTCTCTGTCACCCAGGGTGAAGTGCAGTGGCACAATCATAGGTCACTGTAGCATCAAACTCCTGGGCTAAAGCAATCCTCTCCCCTCAGCTTCTTGAGTAGCTGAGACTATAGGCATGAGCCACCATGCCTGGCTCATCAAATACTGTTAAATCTATGAGTTAATTTTAATATTTAAAAACTTGATCACCGGTGAAAGGAAAGAGGGAAAAATTTTATCTTGAAAATTAGTAAATAAAAGGAGGAAAATCGAGCATTTATCCTGCATTTCTTACATGAACTAAGCCATTAAGTAACCAAATAATATAACAGAGGATATTCCAACTAGTAATTGTAAAAGTAATGATAGGAATAGGATATTGCCATTTTGCAACCCCTAGTGAATTAATGATCTATGTGTTGAGCACAGATGATTCTTCACAACATAAAAAGAGAAACAACCTGGACAAAATGTGCCTCCTGATGAAAAAACATGACTTCTAGTCTTGCCAAAAAGATTGAACCCGAGTCTAATCAAGTCTCTGAATCCAGCTGATAATATTCAAGAAATACAAAACATAGAGGAACATGATAAACTCCACCATGAGTATGAAATCAGCAAAATCTAGTCTGCGGGAAGCTCTATGGGTCAAACCACCCAGATTCCTCAATAGACAAATTGTAATTTTTTAAAAAGTATGTTACAAGTGAATTTTTAAAAATGTATCAAATTTTGAAAATGGATAAGACTAAACTATAGAGCCTAGGGACACATACTTGGGTGAAAAAAAACATCAAGAAATGCAAAGAAGGGTTGCAATAAAACTCAGGGTATTCATGACAGTCTGAGCGGGAAGGTGGAGGCTATAGTTAGGATGGGGCGTGCAGAGGGCTTCTGGGAGTCTGGGAATGTTTTGTTTGCCTTATTATAATTCATTAAGTTATAAATTTATTTTGCTTGGTTTTCTGTATCTGTGTATAATAAAAATAAAAAGTTAAAAGAGAATGAAGAAGAATCCTATAAAAAATGTAAGTTTCACCTAGAGGGTTAAGTAAAAAAAAAAAAAAAAGTTGCAGAATTATATTTACTCTATGTTTCAAGTTCTGTAAAAGACAGGGGAGAGGGCATATATACCAGAGGAAAGATAGCCACCCAAGTTTAATGGTTGTGACCTTGACAAAAATAGATACTTTACTCTTTCTTTGTCATGTTTCATATGTCTATTAAAAGGGGAAAATTGAATAAATTATATATATATGCACATACTTATATATGGTTATATACACATACACACACACATATATATTTTGCTTTACTTTTTATTTTTAAATCATTTCAAACTTCCAAAAGAGTCACACATATAAAGACAGTCTTGACCCAGATTCAAATTTATTAATTGATTAGATTTGGGCTCACTTGCTGACTCTATCTCTCTCATTCCATTGGACAGTTAGTTACAGATATTACACCCGTTTACCTCTACATGTATGCCTGTGTTTCTGAAAAAAGAGGGAGGTATAGATATAGATACAGATACAATTTTCTCATAGTGACACATACAGTTATTAGCCTTGAAATCTGTCAGGGACTTGACATATCAAATTAGATAAAAGATGTGAAAATACTATTTTTAAACTGCAAATAATTCTTATTAAGAAATGTATATTTCTTTCCATTTATATGCCTTAAGGTAATTAGTCACTTTTATCTGAAGCTTAAAGAAATTAGCCATTCCTGGAGCACAACTTCAGATAACACAAAATGAGATGACAGTCAAAATTGTAACAGTTTTTGATAAATTTACTAAACTTAGTTGTAGCTTAATCTGTTAAATGCTCAATTACTCATGAATATTTGATGTTTGGAAAAATAAAGAGAAGACGTCCTAGAAGATAATAGAAAAATTGAGAAATGCTTCCAAATCTCTAGCAAGTCAGCTGCAAAGTGAAAAGTTGACTGGAACAGCTAATGAGGCATGTTTTTTCTTAAGTGGGGCTCAAACCCAATGTGAATTATATACAGAGGAATCTAAATCCATAAAAACTTATTCCTCAAAAAAGAGGGCCTTATTTTTAAAGATTTTTTAAAAAATTTTATTGATGCATAATAGATGTACATGGCTTCAAGGTACATGTGATAATTTAATACACTCATATAGTTTGTAAGGATCAAATCAGTGCACTTGATATATTCAGCCCCTTAAATATTTGTCTTTGTTTATGCCAGAACTATTCCAATCTTCTCTTCCAGCTATGTGGAAATATACAGTAGCTACCTGTAAACTGTAGTCACCCTACTGATCTAACACTAGGTTTTATTTCTTCTATCAAACCATATATCATTTCAAAGATTTTTAAAAGGCATTTATAACCAATTTGTGGACCATATCAGCTTTTTCTAAAGAAGAGTGAAACCTGTAAATGCTTTGAAAATCTTGATAGTACTTTTCAAGATTTTGACATGTCTGAGTTTAGTCTATTTTTGTGCAACAGAAAAATAGACTACCTTGCCAGAAAATATAGGGCATGTTTCCATACTTTGCACTAAATTAAGCTTAACACTGAAATTATATGACAAAGTAGTCACTTCAAAAGGCACAATAAAATTTCTTCTCGGCCTTCTAGCTAAGATCAAGTGCAAAAAGCACAATAAAAATACTAATTTCTAAAATGTTTGTGCTATAAACAGTTATACCGAAATGCACGCACTCTGACCGTGGGTCGATATTGTTCTCTATGCTTGCATTTATAAATAACGAAGAATCATCACCTTGGCATGCTTTGAAATAAGACTTCCCAACCTCACATTTCCTTGCATTCTGAAAACAACGCTCTTTTTCTTTAAAAGTAGTCGGCTATTTGCAATTATAAACTAGATGCCATTCAATTATCATCTGTAATTTTAGGGAAATAACATGCAATTGAGTTTAATGTAACAACCAGACGTTGCTTTTCCTCTGGGGACTGACGTTTGCAGATGCTGGGAGAGATGGATCCTCCACCAGGTGGAGAAGTGACTGCGAGGTGTTACAACGCTTGTGTCTGCTCGCAGGTGAGCGAGATGGAAGTGAACGGGCAGTTTGAGTCCGTGTGCGAATCCGTGTTCAGCGAGCTGGAGTCGCAGGCGGTGGAAGCGCTGGACCTGCCCATGCCCGGCTGCTTCCGCATGCGGAGCCACAGCTATGTGCGGGCCATCGAGAAGGGCTGCTCCCAGGACGACGAGTGCGTGTCCCTGAGGTCGTCCTCCCCACCGCGCACCACCACCACCGTGAGGACCATCCAGAGCAGCACGGGTGAGTGGGCGGCCGCAGCCGCAGCCGGCCTGCATCTGTGCTGGCTAGCACGGCTGTCCCCAAAGACGGTGCCCTTGAGCTTATCACACGCGGTTGCCAGGAACAAAATGCCACCCGTGTCCTACAAGGCAAAGGCTTTGCTTCCCTGCCTGCCTCTATCCCCACCTCTGGCCACATCCACACACCCCTTCCTCTCTATCTACATTTCTAGTATCAGCTGGGGAAACAGTGACTACAGCACCATGAGGGGGGACAGCCCAGCGGGGAGGTCTTTCCAAGATCCCCACACAGCATCCTAGCAGCTAGCAGACGGATCCAAACCAACTCCTACCCTCAGTGATTAAGCTAAGCTTTTTAGGGCTGTGACCTAAATGAACCAGACACTCTGCTTATTGTCCATGGCAGAATTGAAAAGCATTTTTTATTCCAAGATAACCACAAAGTGACGATCCCAAAAGACCTGAAATATCACCGTGAGAAAATAAGGAGGAAGAAATGGATAACCTAGTAATATGGATGAACATTTTATGAATTTTATTTTAACAGCAGATTTATTTCATTATTTTAAAGCCTTCTATCTATCCTATATAAATAGCACCTTCTTTTCCCTGTAAAGTGTATTTAGGTTTCTGCAGTTAAACTGTATTTTTATCAGTAGATTTTAGGCACAGAGGCACAGAAGAGCTTAACTAGTTTCCATGACACTGGAACCTGCACAGTAATATAGCCTGGGGCTATTTTGACGATGTATTTTGTATATATGTAAAGCATTTGGGTTCCAAGAAGAAAATCTCTCCATCTTAACTAGGCTTAACTTTATGATTGAACTCAGCATAACTTTAATACAGAGTAGTGCTACAAGAAGGTAAACAAACATAGAGTCTAGATAAATAGTGATGAATAAATTAGAAAGAAAAACCTATGCCTGAATATTGTATTATTCAACTTCATCATAAAATGTCAGTAATTATCATTCAGCCTAAAACTTTTGCACGTTTGATAGTTAAAATATCCTCAAACCTGAATTAAAATCCTGCTAACTAGATGTGTGGGATTGAGGTGGGAATTTTTTTTTTTTAACTCTTAGAGGTTAAACAAGAGGAGTTCATTCTAGACCACTGCAAACTGGGACCTCAGCCTCAGAGAAAGGGATGCCTGCAGACATTGCATTGGCTCCGAAGTTCAGTGGCTTTGACCCTAGCTGGCTATCTGCAGACCAGAGACAGTGGATCTGTGTACATTCTTGCTCACTAGGAAATCTTCCAAGAACAGCCACAGATGAGATTAATAAATTAAATAACATTGATTTATGAGGAGAAAAAAATATATTAAAAAAAAAACCAACCATGAGCATATTTATGTGTGTGTTTACATTCATACAGTAAGTGTAGTTTGGAAGGTCTGCCCTGTACGTATAGCATATCACTGTGTCTTTTGGTGTTTCCCATTGTCACCAATCCCACCCCACACACGACCCTCTCCAATGTCTGGTTCCATCCTTCTCAATAACGAGCTCATCGTCTGCCAGCTGAAATTGCTCCATAAATATACAAAATGCAAATCTTTGCCAGAAGTGCCAAGGGATGTGCACTCTCAGGAGACTGGTCGAGAAGGAAAGGGCCACAGGCTCACTCTTTCCCCCTCAGGGAGCGGTCTTGTGAATAAAGTGATGAGAGATACAGAGTGGCTTTTCTCTGTCCCCTCTTAGAGGATTTTGGGTTTTCATTATTTAGATAATTTACTTACATTTGCTGCATCAATTCTTGTACCCCGAAGGTCTGCCTTTTCTAAGACCCTTCCCAAGTACTCTGGAGGCTCCCAGAGTTCGAACAGTAGGCTTGCCAAACAAAATCTGGGTCATGCAGTTAAATTTGAATTTTAGGTAAATGGTGAATAATTCTGTAGTATAAGTATATCCCAAATATTGCATGGGAAATACTTATACTACATGACTATTTGTGGTATTTGTAGTATTGGCTAAAATCCAATGAGCCTATCAGAACAGATGTGTAGGGCCTGGGAGGGTGTCCTGTGTTGTTCCATTTAGAATCTAAATAGACTCTGAGGGGCTCTGGCCAGAGGTCCTGTGTGGGAAGACCACCCAAAACAGGGAGAAGTGAAGAAAACCTGCACAGAAGTGATTGCCTGTGCTCCTCCTTGGGCTTGAGTCTTGTCCTAAGTACTGGGCCACCTCCACCTGCAGTTCTCTGGATAAGAAGCCTCCACGCTTGGCTTGCTGACCCTGCAAGGATTTAGGGGCAGGAAGATATGACTTGTTCCAGGGGCTGGTAACACATGGAATGCCAGGGTTTTTGCACAGGGCAGCTGTGAACTTCACCCTTAATCATTAAACTGAACATGATGTAAGACCTTCACAGTTGTGGGAAATACACAGTTTATGTACTAAAACATTATAGCAGATGCTAACCAAGTACACATGTCAGGTATTTAAGAGTGTAACTTTATGAATTCCAATATTACCTTTCACGGTTTCTCCATGCCATGGACTTATTCTTTTGAAATAATTTATAATTTTATGATATCATAATGTTACTAGTCTCCAAGTGGATTTTTTCTAAGTTCTTGGTGTCCATCATGAAAAAGAATTTCAGGATGTACCACGTAAGCCAAGCAAAAGAAAGCTTTATTGAAAGTGAAAGTTCACTCTCAAGGAGGAGAGTGGGCAAGCTTGAAAAAAACGGCTGCACTGAGAGGAAGTGGTTTTAGGTCTTCTGTAGTCTTACTAATTGAGGGGAAGAATATTCAAAGCCAGAGGGTTGGTTTTCAGTAAGAATTTGGGTAGTAATTCCTAGATTTGGATTTCCTCCCATTTTCATACTTTATATGGTTGTTACAGAACTATCTGGGTGATTTCAAGGACAGAGAAATTTTAAAGCCACAATGTCAATGATATTGTAATCAATGATAACGTAATATAAGTTCATGGAAGGTGGCAGAGAGAGCTGACAAGCCAGTTGAAGCCAGTCCTTGCCTGCCTTGTCAGCCCCTCTATTTAGCTTCCACTTAAGAATTCTTTAACTCCTGCACCTGATCTTCAGCCCCTGCATCTGGTCTCAGCCCTGTCTTCTAGTCTCCTACACTAACAATAAGTTTCTATGTTCTTTGTTCCGAACCCCCAATATTTCTGTATGCTGTTTCTCTCTCTCACACACAGTTTCCTTTTCTCTCCCACATGATCTCAGTACCATCATAGTAATTTTCTTCTTCCACTAGTTTCCTTCTTACATCAAATCAAATACAACTTCCTGTAGAAAATGCAGAAAATTGATTTTTTCACAGGACTTACTAATCTTGAAAGAATGTGCTCATCTATGAAAATTGGAAAATGATTTTGCTCTAATTTTATTGATTTTCCCCATCTATACAGGTCAAGTGTACATCCAGGTTTGGTAGGACTTAACGTATATTTCTCCTTTTGCTTCTCTTCTTTTGTTCATTATTCTTAGATACAATAGATTCCATTTTTCCTAAACCCCCCCTTGTCCTGAAAAAATTCTTCATTTTTGTCAACTGCAGTAATAAGATAGAACTTTCCCACAATAATCCATGTTATGAGTCTTTGATTTGGGGGTGAGCCCTATTAATTGTTTATGTTTTCAGCAAAATATACTATTAAGTCTTTTTCTTCCAGCCTTGTCTTTTATTCATGGCTGAATGAAATCATAGACAAAAGTCCACAAAAAAGTCTGATGCCACATGAGAGAGTCATGAAGACAGGCTCAGCTCTTGCTATTAGCAGGTAAGCGAGGATGGATGGAGACATTTCAGCAAATCAGGGCAAATTAGGAACAGACTTAGAGAGTGGCTTATAGTTATGCTTCCTTGGATTTCTTGACTTCTTGGCTTATCTCATTATGATAGAATCTTATGTTTTCTCAGCCTGCAATCTACTTCAAGCACCCACATCTATCTCTATCCAATAGATTCAACAAGTTTTCATATAAACCACTGTACCTGGGATTATTAGGGTAAGATTAGAACTACTACAGGAAAGTAAAATTAACAAGTGGGGCAATTAATATCATGACTGTGAAAAGCAAGTACCCTTGCCACAATTGTCTGAATATTTTGGGTAAAAGTAGAACCTGGTACCAGAAATATACCCAGACCTCCAGAGTATTGGATTAAACGTGCCTCTTCTGGACTGTACCAATGCAATTGTATGCATTTAAGGGTGAGTTTTCTTTTTACTTCCTATGTTGAATGTTTTTTAGGACCTACCAAAAGTATTATCACATGGTTGCTAAGCAGACTTGTATCTAGTGATACCAGTAGCATGAATAGGGAGAAACATTGTATGATAATCATAAGTGGATACACACCAGGAAAATAGAGGCACACACTTGTAAATATATAGGAAAAAACATCAGAAAGGACACAAAATAAATCATTTGCAGTGGTTACCTAGCAAGTAGTAGATGAGGAGAGTCAGATGGTAAGGTGAGAGGGGGATTTTTTACATAAGCATTTATTATTTTAAAGCCAATATAACATTTGAATAGAAATAATACTCTTTGGCAGAAATAGGCAAACTGTCATGATATATGATTCTTGGGTCTTTTAAGAAAATTCTTCTCTTTGAAATTACAAAATTTTCGAAGAAGCTTTATGTAGCAATAATATAATTTTTATAAAGAGTAAGTAGGTTCATTTGCCACACTCTTGATCTTAAAGTTTGGCCTGTGTGCTGTCTTATTCTTTTCTTGGGGATCTCTTAAAGGATGATGGAGTTGAACTGGTCTATCCTCCACGTTACCCCCCAGGCAGGGGAGTAAGGACCCAGGGTACAGTGCCCCCCTTTGAAGTATTTTCTAGCCAGGGAGTCAACAGAGTTTGTTCCCTTAGGTGTGGCTTGGGACTAGTTACAGCAGTATTTGCAGTTTGATTTTTCTAACAGGAGAAATCATATTTTCCCCTAAATTAAGACATGGTCTTCCATACTCCTACTTTATACACTCTCCCATTCCTGGCAGCTCTGA